GTGGATCGGGTTATATATACAAACAACTGTTTATATAGGGCCATAAAACCTGTAAAGAATCTTTATAACCAATAATATATAGGAAAACCCATGAAGTCTTTTTGTATGAAACTACACTACCCAGAGCTCAGACATTTGTCATGTAATAGACCTCGTTCAAAGTAAATTATAGTACAAATTTAAATCTCTCACCTTGTTTTCACTTTACTCTTTACAATAATACTTTAAAACTTTTAATGCTTTTTAGTAACCGCCCCAAATTCCAGACAAGATACATAACTCTGCCAGGTATGTTGACAAAATGATGTCATTGCTTCATCTGAGAACTGTGACATGTTTTTTGTACGACACCTCTGTTTTACTGTGAAATTAAATTATGCCCTTTTTATCCCAACATAGTTAATGTTTTACTTTACCTGACCTAAATTCAACATGCGTGTCTTTTTCACTCTATCAAATTTAGTTTTTAAAGACTTTTTTCTTATGATTCTATCAAGTCAACCTTTTTAGAATATGTTCTTAATACGCTACCAAGTACTTATAACAGTCGGTCGAGTACCTTAGCTGTCTTATGGACAGCTCTTGGTAGCTCTACGTACTATTCGAGGAGTAGTCGGGCTTCCTACGTACCATTAGGTCGGCGTGTACTGATACTTAACATGTACTTTTGAATCAGTACATTGTTTAAGACCTATGACTCTCTTACTGAATTACATGAATATATCCGTTGTTCTAGACTGTTTTAAAAAACTTGCCAGTTCTAACATTCAGAAACTGACTTAAATACGATGTCAGAATTAAAGGTCGTTAATTAAGGCAAAACTTTATCTTATTTCATTTTTTTGTTTGTTTCTTTTTGTTATGTGTTTTTGTTTGTTTGTGATTTTGTTTTGTTTTGTCGTCTGACCCTGGTCTGTCTGCACTGTTCGTTATTCAGTTTGTGTTAATATTTCGAAAATATTCCTAAAATTGTTAAGATTAAAGATAGGCAAGTCTTTTTAAGATATTACGCGTGTTAAGGACTTTTGAAGAGACGTTTAAGAGTCGCAAAAAGAACGTATTCTTCCATGAGCAAATAAAGTAACTACGGTTTACAGCTATTGGTTTGATTTTGGTTAGATATTAAATTGCGTGCACAATTTCCAGTTATGTCATTTTCAATGTATAACAAAATACGACATTGAGTCTAACCTTGCTTCCATAACAGTTACTAAAATGCTATTGATCAAAGTTCTTTTTCATTTGTATGTTTTTCATTTTTGTTTTGCATGCAATTTGAAACGGATTTATTTCAATTTTTTACAAGTGATTTCCACCTAACTACTGCCCTTTGTTGGGTTTTGAAATGAGTTTCGATTTTTATAAAAATTTGTATTGCATATTGCGTTTACTTTTTTGTTGAAATTATCCTTTGAGGTTTAAGTATGCTGTCATTATCGTATCAGTAAAGCGATCTTCACAAAATTGAAAATAGCATTAATAATTTGAAATAGATGGCATACTTTATCCACAATGCAGGATTCAACATGGTTATGTCAGGCGACATAAATCACCTATCTATATTTGAACGAGAACAGTTTTGTATACAGATAGATTGAGGTAGGAAGGTTTAAGTGGGAGTCAATTTTGAACAGTTAAATCAAACATGATATTTTTTGCACTTGGATTACTGTAACAGCTAACAAAGGCAAGTATCAAAATATAATTTATATTTTATTGTTCTGTATGAATGTAGAGTAGTTGTTTTTACTGCATTTCACTCTCAAGAGTATCATTGGTGTATTACTACTATTTTACTGGTAATTTGTATTGTAGCTTTAATTATTAGGTAAAATATTGAAAAGAAAAGATTTATTACCCTTACACCAACGTCCTTGTTTTAAATTTTTCCGTCAGTTCGTCTCGGGAGGTGAAGAACCCGGTCTCACATAAGAAATAATGGAAAGGTTAGGTAAGCCCTGATAATGGCTGTTGTGCAAGCAAAACGTCTGACTTATTGGCTGTAACTGAGCACTAGGGGTTCGCGCACCCTAGTATCCTTTCTAGTCGTCCCTATATTTATAATGAAGTGTCGCTCTCAGCCTTTCAAGCCGTCTTTATCTTATTAAAGACTAATGGACCCCAGTACCCTGCCTCGGCGTCCCCGCCACATTGTAGGGCTACTTCCCTCGTCTTCAGCCTCCGACAGCTGATCTTAAGCTACAGACGGAGTGGGCAGGGGGGGGGGGTAAATAAAATTGTTTTATCGAGTTATTTTAAGCAGGTACATGTACGTTTTAACCCGTTAACCCGTAACCCGCAATTCCCATGTCCAAGCCTCGTGCGTCTCCTTGACGTGCACGCAACGAAGGGAAGACAGAGAAAGTGGGTGAAGATAATAAACATATTAAAAATTTACAGAAAGCGATAAAGGAGAATGTAAGTGGTTGTGTTCCCGAGTCATTGCTGAATATACGTATTAATTATTTCTCAAGCTTGGTACTCTGGTTTATAAGTTCTGAGTCAAACAATGCAGATTTGTGTTTCATGCCGAAGTCGATTTAAAATACTAGTTCTATCGTGAAATTAAATATCATATTTCATAATAACTGTCAAATCCGTTTTTTCCTGTTTCTTTGTAATTGTATTTATACTTTAAGAAATAAAAACAAGGTCAAGTTTTCAAATGGTTTGACTAATTATAAATAATTGCTTAAATATTTTGTTAGCGAGCTTATGTAAAATTCTTCTGTATTCGAATTTTGTCTATCAATCGGAAGGGATTTTTGTTATGGATACAAACAAAATAGCGACATACATAGAATAATCATCCACAAGGTATAGTTAGTGACTAAACATCGTGAAAAAATAAAGGAAATTTTCCTTATATTTAAATTAAATAATTGTTAATCCTAGAATTGCAATTAATAGTGGATAGTGGTATATATTTAACAGTTCTTGTTTTGGAGAAATCTTTAAAAAAAAATCTGTTTGATAAACAAATTTGCAATATGTTGTATCATTTCATTTCACGTAGATATAATTGTAGCTTCATTTTATTTTTGAAAACGTTATTTAGTAATCTGCTAATAACACTATGTACTGGTCGTAACAGATCACCGCTTTAATTGAAAAAGTGCACTGTTTAATGAATATATTGAAATCTAATAGATTTTGATAAAATCTTTACTATTTATTGAACAGTCAAAGTAAAGGGTAGATTTCTATCGATAATCCAATTTCTATTAATGCGAGTTTTGAATAAACCGATTTGTGTAATTTGAATTGAAAGCAATTCACTTGTTTGTTTATTGGGCATGAAAGATTCCGCATTTGGACATAATACTAGCTTTTATAGAAAAATGTCGAGAGCGTATTCCGTAATAAGGAAATAGCTTTTTGACATGTTGACAATTTAATTTAATATGCTTCACATGGAAATAAAGAGTTAAATATTGATTTGAATGATTAGAGCTTAACATTAGGATAGCGTACGAGTCATAGGAAACTATTATCAATAATATTTGTGATTACAATATGAGCCGCGCAATGACAAAACCAACATAGTGCGTTTGCGACCAGCATGAATCCAGACCAGCCTGCGCATCCGCGCAGTCTAATCAGGATCCATGCTGTTCGCAAACCCACTATGTTGGTTTTGTCGTGACACGGCTCATATATAGAAAATATTGACTCAAACTGCACATGCTATAAGATATAATATTATAAAGACATTATATATATTCAATGTATTTATATACGACCAGTAATGGCGGTAAAAGCTAATTTGTTCATGTAAATTGTTTAAATGAGTTTTGTTAATAAGTAATGAGTATTTTTATAATTAAAAACTTTTCCGAATAAGCGTTAATATATAATTGGTAAATCGATCGTTGGAAGATAATATCTATGCACGAAACACAAACATTTTTATAGGCCTGAATTGGTGAATACAAAATTCAAACCGTACTAAGATTTTGTTGACATATCTCTGTAAATAACCACCATAGAGGGTTTAATGTATTTAATAGATTTTTATCAGTGTTATCATTTTCCTAAAAAGGAAGTTATCATTTCAAACACACGCTGTTTAAACTGGTTAGTGACCATGGAGCCATTAAGTCATCAGAACTAAGGAGAACGCGGATAGCTTTAATATAACCTGACAATTAGGAGAGAAAAAACGATAGCGAGATTTGTTACGGTTTAAATATTTGTAAAATCGCAAATCTTAACTGTCAATATTTGTGTTGACTGACAATGAAAGAGAATTACGCGGGTTCTTATTCACCGGTTAAAGTTGTCAACCTGTTTTAATTACATATGATAACCGACACTGACTGTTTGTGTAAACATGTCGTTATTATACAGATAACCTCGATGATATATATAAACTGCGCCATGTAACCAGTATATAAAATATGATAAAGAACTTAAATCATAATTTAATAGTTCGATAAATCAAATAAATACCGGATATACGTTTCCAAGTTTCGGCTTGTATATCATATATATATATTTTTCAAATATTCGAAGGCTAACATGACTTAAGATAAGAATAAGTTAAGTAACACTTGTCAAGAGATGCAATCTCAGTTAAGATAGATCAAGATATGATATATAAAGAAAAAAGAGAAACCATGGCATTTTATATTGACATATTTGTCATAAATTACCGTTCAAACAAGTGTTAAAGTTCTAATACCCGACTGAATGATAAATATATAATCCTATAATCCTGATTGTAACGGGGGATTACTTTTTGAAAACATATCAAAGTATTTAAGTTAAGGAAAGCTTAAGATAAAATATCGTCTTTTTAGCGTTAAACATTGAAAGTTGGTGTATAGCGTATGGTAGATAAATGATTACTACGGGTAGAAATTATATATAGAGGAATACTTATCTCTGGATACATTTCATAAAGTTTTAAATTATTGAAGATGTAGATAACATTATTCAAATTTTTAAGAAATCATAATTCACGCAACTAAATTTAACGTATCATTTAAAATAGTCAATTTAATTTGTTCGACTTTTTTCTTTCTTTTAGATTGCAGATACAAAATTAAAGTGACATTGTAGTCATGGGGCTAGATAAGGATTTGTTCGAAGGTGATGTTGAAAAAGAATTTATTTGTGGACTGTGTGATCAAGTACTTTTGAACCCTGTCACCGCCGGATGCAGTCATATCTTCTGCCAATCTTGTGTCAACCGGAAGTTAAAGTCTCTTGTGTCGAAACCATTATGTCCACTGTGTAGTGCTAAACTTTCAAGCAATACTCAAGATACAACTATAGAGTTTAAACTGAAGCTACTAAATCTGACCTTATGGTGCAGTCATACATGTGGAGCTAAGTTTGTCCTGGCTGACCTGCCGGACCATATGGATATATGTTCCAACGCACCGGTACAATGTGAATTTAAGCCTACAGGATGTACAAGAACAATTAAACGATGTGATTTCAAGAAGCATTTACAAGAATGTGACTATAGATCGGTTGAATGCGAGGCTTGTGGGCATGTTACTATATACAGAGAACTCTTTACACATCAAAGTCGTGTTCGTTGTCTAGAGAAGAAGTTGAAGCAACAAATAATACGGGAAAGAAAGCTTGCATTAAAGGAGGTTAACAAACATAGAGAACGACTTTTCCGAGACAATTGCCGACTAGACCAACAACAAAGAAAGTCGATTCTTAACCATTCTAAATCGTTAAACCATAGAAGAAAGTTAAGGCACTCTTCCAAGAATGATAACGATTCTGAGTTTGATTTATCTCCAAGAGATGGCGTATTCTTGACAGAACATGCTGTAGAGCATCATAATGATGTTACGATGGAGCAAAACGGCGAAGACTCGAAGGAAATAGAAAGACAAAGGCAAATTCAGAATGTGGGTATTATTATTTTGTTATCAGAAAATCCTTTTTATGACGAAACACACCAATTTCGCGAATTCGGCATTACCAGCAATACAAGATTTTTGTGATAATTAAGACCTTTTAGGGTACATGTATTTGAATGTGTTTCAAAAAGTAAATTGACATTTCTTTGGTGCATTTATGTTTATATATTAATCTTAAGATACAATATTTGAAAAACAAAACCCCCCTCCCCCACCCCCCCAAAAAAAAAACCCCAACCCCCAAAAAAGAAAACAACAAAAAAAAAACAACACACTTCATTTTGGCAACTTAAATATGTAAGGCCTAAGCTGAATGAAGATTCTTGCTGCCGTGGTCATAATGGGGAAGAATAATAAGTTGAATTGATTACGATCCTTTTTATCTGAAGAATAAGCGAAGAATAAAAGAAAGATGTCATATAGTAAATACGACTCATGTACATTCCGAAAAAGATATCGAATAACCTAATAGTTTTAATGTATTTAGTCTTCAATTATATTTGGAAACAACCTAATTAGGGAGATCTTAAAACAAGAAAAATGCCTTTAATTGACTTCATCTTTGTTTTTAGGTATCATCGTAAATGTGACCTTTTGTCTATATATAAGGTTTAATTTGTTTTACAGAATACAAAAACTCCACATTCATCCCGGTCAGGCTTCGCTATGCAGTTTTGTTCACAGTGTAACAGAACGTTCCGTGCCGATACTAATACTTCAACCGCCTGTAGGTGGCATGTAGGGGTAAGTCTATACACCACCTCTTCTAAATAACCTGCATTTTCTTTATATTTCGTTAGTCCGATGACACCGTCTTTTCAAGTGGTAAAGATCATTGGCTTCACATAAATTAAATTAGAATCGGTTTTTTAAAATAATTCCTTTAAAACTTATTTTGTTATTCTCAATACAATTGATTTATCAATGTGATTATTATGCATTAAAACCATTAGTTTTAATTCTACATTTTGATATTAATTCTTTTCTATTATTTTTTCTTTTCATAAATTGCGTTCATTAACAGCCGGTAAGTTCATTTTTGTCCAATGTATCAAATTTAATGTTGTATTTGTCAATGGATACCTCAGTTTAGTTAATTAATATAACTTACATTACTTGCTCATATTTGAAATTCATTTTGATTGAGCGTATTCAATATAATTTTCTTCCATAGAATAACAGTTTTTGAAATAACTTGAATGTTTGCTTCTCACACTATATAACAAAACACCAAAAATAAGTTATTGAATGATGATGTTGTTATAAGAAGTTGACAAGTCTGTAGCCGAGTTGTCTATATTGTACCATAAGGTATGTTTTCGAGTGAAAAGATGTTGTCCGTTAGCTTATTAGAAGTAGTTCTGCTTAGGTGCACGTGTGTGCATTAGGTTATGCAAATCTATGATTCGTACACGTTTGTCTGAGAAGAATAAACTAATTGTGTTCATGTTTAAATTTATTGTATTGTATTTTTAGTATCTTTTCTTTTCATATGAATCCAGATGGTAAGTTTATCATTATTATTTTTTTTGCTTAAAGAATTACTCTATTTTTACATTAAAGACATCTTTTAAACGATGAAATGATAAATTAGTTGATTAAATCAATTAATTGATTAATTAATAAATTATGATATGCTTAAATTTTTCAGTTTCTTTATCTTAAATACTCTTTCTACTATTCGAAATAAAATGAATATATGGTAGAAATATGGAGTGAATGGGTGTTTTCATACTTTGTAGTGTTTTTTTTTTTTTTTTTTGAAAAATATAGGTATGAGTCTATGAATTTGTATGTAAATGTGTATGCTTGTATTGTTATACTTCAAATATGAAATAAATGAGAAAAAAATTATGATTCAAGCGGCCATCCTGCATGTGATCCTGCATGATAAGCAACACAACAAAATCAAATTTCCAATACACGACAAATTGCAGCATTGAAATCTTAAAATTCAGTTTTATGTTTTAGCTTTTATTAAGCTTGAATAACAATGTTTTTCATATATAACATTCAGTTTTAGGATATGTGTTCATTTTTAAGGAAAGAAATAGAAATGAAACTGATTGCATTTTAAAAGAAAGTCATAAAAGTATCATATGATATCTCTTTCTTTATTTATCTTTTCAGGTTGAAGTCTTTGTAAGCATACCTTTGAATCTATTATAAAGTTTTGTAACAGAAAATGCTTTAGATTATATCAATTATACAATTATTTATTACAAAAAATACACATATGTATTTGGCATGATTATAGTGTTAGAACAATTTAAGAATAAACTGTTGCACTTTTAATTTCTTTAAATAGTACCTGTAAAAGTTTGATTAAATATTAAATCTGAAATGTACATGAATCTGCACTAGTATTTGACAAATACGTCTTGACCATAGTCTCGCTAGGTCAACGATTATAACTATATTGATATAATATTATATTCAGGTCATTATTAATCTTATTATTAAGGAACACTTTCACTCAGTGTCAGTTAATCCGAGCTCTAATATTTATCTAAGATTCGACTTTGCCGAAGCATTCTCACAGAATTTATATAAAGAAACTTAACTCTTGCTTAACTTAAATAAAGGCTTAAAAGAGTTATGCATACATAAATGGTTTAAAGTGAAACTATCTAGGTAAAGGAGTTTTATATGCGTTCTGTTTTATATAGATTTAAATCACACGTTTTCTTTCGTTATGATATTATAAATTAGTTGAAAAAGATAATGAACAAATTGTAATAATTATTTACACTTTTGTCCCTCTTCTTTTTCATATAACCTGCCGACGGTGATACAGGGGGTGAGTGTTTCTTTTTTATTATCATAATTTCATACTTTTGAAACGTGGGCCAATCTGTTTTCTTCTTTATTTTGATTGTGATACCCCTTCGTATTTAACATGGTGTAAAACTGGTAATACGTTTTATTTCTATGTTGTTGTTTTTTTAATTTCAGAGTTTGGGATAATTTTATTTGATGTACAATTATTTAAATGCTTTTACTGTTGTGCCTTTTATATTAAAGTGTTTACTTTACCATCGATTAATATTGTTTATACTTTTCTTTGTGTCTTTTCATGTGCTGTCCTATTTGGATTACATAAAATCAAGGGTGTAAGTACATTTACATTAAACTTCTTTTTTTACGTTTCTTTCTAAAATATTTTCTTGTTGAAATAAATTCTTGGTGCTCCTTAACATTTGTTGTTATGTATCAAATTGCATATAACGATTTTGTAAAGTTTGTTTTATTTACATACACAAACATGTCGTAAAAATGCTTTATGCTGGTGTAAGATAAATTTCATTTTAAGTTACAAATTATTTGTTAAAGTCATAAAATGTGAAAAGTTGAATATAGCCCATATATTCTGTCAATATACGCTGTTAACTAAAATTATTTTCACTCCGTTGTTGGTTCGAATCCTTCCGGCGATGTTTGACGTATTTTATATAGACAATCATATTTGGTTGCGTAAGACAGGTGTTTGTGCTTAAAATGATGCACAGAAGAAAAGTTTAGGTCTTTCTCCGCTAGGTAAAAGATAAAACAGGCTTGCGATCTAACCACATGGAAACCTACTTGGAAGTTGTTTGTCTTAAATGATTCACCGAAGTATGTTCAATGCTTATATATGCATCAATAGCTGTACTTAGGTTGTAGCTATGCTAACATAACAGTGCTTTTAAATTAAATACACATTCTTAAATGTGCATTAAACTAAAATACTCTATATATATTTATATCTCGTATTTTATTTTTTCAGACATGTTTTGCATGCGGACGTCTTGACTATCAACCAGGATGTACAACAGGATTTCATAGACTTTAAATCTAAACTAGCTTAAATTTATTCTGATTCTTTTTGTTTCCTGTCTCAGTTTTTTTTTCAATATTGCTATTTGGACTCGTATTTCATATCTGTCAATTTCATATTTTAAGATGTTATTCCACGAATATATGGTTTTATATAAATGTACATTTAGGTATCAAAAGAATTATTACGTGCACCTTGTTATACATGTATGTATCATCGTATTCACATTAATGAATAATGTACAATAAATTGTTATTGATTATATTTTAGAATTAATGTTCGTCTTTTATTATTTCCAAGATTTCACAAATTTCCAAGACCTATTATTTTTAGAAATCATCTATATAAGATACATCATTGCCTGGCACATGAACATTTTTGTTCGTACAAGAAACAACAAAGGAGCTGTAAGCATACTAGTCAGTTTGTTGAATGAATTTGCAATAAATGTTTAATATACAAAGAGCCAAAATCTAATAATATATTTGTACAAAATGTTTTTTTCTATGAAGATACAAGGACTGTTATTTTTTAGGAAAGGTTTGTCTCCCTTCCACCAGAATGTATGAAATAATAGCGTCTCGAGGCACTGATAAGAAGCTTGACGACGTTCCAGCATTTCTTTCGCAGCTGTCCCTCTAATATCGACTGAAGTATGTGTCAGCTTCCCCTCCATAAGGGTGATAGAAAGCAACTTCAACCGTTCGGCCATGAAAATTTCTAAATTTCCTACATAGTGCCTCTAGTTATACAAATCAAAGCTTTAACTTACATAACCTTTTCCCGATTGTTTAATTATAACCCGATCCAAATGAATATAACCGCTGCTATTTACGTACAGTCACTTTGTTCTTGCAATACTTTCAAATTGTTGAATAAATTCAGGAAGATTTATATGATCATTGTAAGATAAAAACTGTTATTGGTTTATTTTTTCAAATCTTGCATGTCCTAAGTTTAATAAATGATTAAAGTACGTGACTTAACCAACTTTGAATATTACAATAATTTCATCTGTGCGTGATTCAATATTGATAAAGAATAATGTATCAATCACAACAAAATGTGAATGTTTTGTTTAACTTCAGCATTAAAAGAAATCTTCTGGAATACAAAGCTGTGTTATTTTTAACTTATCATTTTGATATTTTCCAAATTTAAAATGTTAGAAGTACTTGAGGAATTAAAGTTTTAAAATCAAGAATCAAACACCATTTAATATATGAATGCTGAATGCTTAATCTTTAACAAAAATTGTATACAAGTCCATAATCAAGAACATTAACTAGTGAAAACCATAGGCATTGAAAATTAAAATTGTTCACGATACTGAAAATCAATTTACTATATTTTATTTGTTATTGACTATTATGATATTTAAATGCACTTATATGCACACTGTATAAAGTACAAAAGGGAATTTTACTGATTAAAATAAAAGAAACAGAAAGGGAATCTAACATATAAACTAATCTTGTTCTTCGATGACCTTCTTTACATCATTATACTCCGTTGTGATACTTTCCTATCGATATCTAAACTGTAGCAAAAAGTGTTGCAAAAAAGATTTAAAAATCTTGAAATTTTAACATATCGGTGAAATCTATATTTCTTCTTTGAAAAACTTGTTCGTGATTGTGTTAAACACTAACACTATTGTACTCTTGAGATTAATGACGGAAAGCGTAATGAAATTAAAATGATTTTCCCAATCTTTACCACTTTTCTTCTGATATTTATTTAATTAACCGCCGTTCGTATAACTAGTAAGGCTTTCTAGAATCATTCATTACAGGGTATGAATTGTATTTCTTTGGGAAGCTGCCGTTGATTTTAAAAAATAAGTTATTCTGATACATTATCAGATTATAAATAACAAATAAGAATACAAAAAATATACATACACAGGGTTGAAACATATTTACTATGTATGCATGAATGCAGATCATTCCTGAATATGTGTTTATTTCTA